CTGCCCTTGCCTGCTGGGCCCGATAGTCTCCTCCCTCACTGACAGACACCTGGTGTAGCCAGTGGCACCAACAAAGCAGACTGAACTGTAACAAGTGGTCCTGCCTGGGGAGAAGCACTCTTGGTCTCCATGGCCCTGGAACTCCCTGTTCCACCCAGAGCCCCCGGGAAGGCCAAATGGGGGACCTCCTTTAGCTCTCAGGCAGCAGCAGGAAGAACGAGTGGGGGCCCGGAGACGAACGATGTGAGAAGGCTCGTTGGCCCCACAGCCCACTAAACCAGGCCACGACCTGCTTGCTAAACCTAAACAGGGTGAGAGCCTGCTTTAAAATAAAAATAAGAAGATTCGAATAAGACCCAACATTTCCTAACATAAAAGACAAGGCGTGCAGATACCATTAAAAAATACACATCATACTAAGAACCAGGAAAATTACTTAAATGCAAAAAGACAACCAGCTGAGAGACAGCGCAGCAAGACAAATCAGATGACAGAAGTATCCAAGAAAGACTTTAAAGCAGCTGTCATAAAAATGAATCAGAAAGCAATTACAAATTCTCTTGAAACAAATGAAAAAAAAAAAGGTTTTTAAATTTCATCAAAAAAATAGAGATTGTAAGAAAAGAACCAAATGGAAATTATAGAACTGAAAAGTACAATAACAGAAAAAAAAGTCATTGGACAGGCTCAATAGTAGAATGGATATGACAGAAGATAGAATCAGTGACATTGAGGAAAGAACAATAAAATCATCCAGTCTGAATAACAAGAGAAAATAGACTGAAAAAATTCTCTACCGTGAATGGTGGCATTGAATAACAAATGAGTAGCATCAACTGCACTGCAGAGGGGTTGTTTAATTAACTTAAGAGAACTAATAGTTTTAAATAGTGACAACTAATTGAAAAAAAATTAAATATCATTTATAATAAGATCAAAAATGCAAGGAATAGAAGGAGCACAGAGGACTTTCAGGGCAGTGAAAACATTGCATGATACTATAATGGTGGGGCCGTGTCGTTATACGTTTGTCCGAACCTACAGAATGGACAACACTCAGAGTGAAGCATATGTAATCATGGACTTGGAGTGATTACAATGTGTCAGTGCAGGTTCACGGAGTATAACAAATGTATCACTCTGGTGGTGCCGTGACCATTACGGAGGAGGCAGTGCCTAGAACATCTGCGTTCCTTCCTCTCAATTTCTCTGCGAACCTAAAAGTACTGTAACAAAGTCTTTTTAAAATGCAGGGAAATAAATCTAATGAAATATAGTTGAAAACTAAAGATTATTGTTGAAAACTATAAGATTAATGTTGAGAGAAATTAAAAGAATCCTAAATATTTATAGAATAAAAAACTTAAAAACTTTTAAAGTCAGTTCTCTCCAAATTGATCCAGAGCTTGGGCAGTTTCAATGCAAATTCCAGTAGAATTGTGTTTATTTTATTTTTAAAATAAACTTTACTCTATAATTTATTTGGGAAATTAAAAGACCCAAACAATCTTGAATAAGAACGTTTGTCAAGACTTATTCTGAAGTTTTAGTGAACAAGACAGTGTGAGATTTGTATAAGCATAGACAAGCCAACCAATGGAAGAGGAAAGAGAGGTCTGGAAGAGGCCACACATACGCAGTTACTTGATTTGTGATCAGGGGACACTGCCATGCAGCGAAGACAGGACGGGTGGTCTTTTTATGGACTTTGCTGGGTCAATTAGATATTTATATTTTAAAAAATGAATCTTAACTCTACCTCACACCAGATATAAAAGTCAAATCAGGTGGATTGTAGATCTCAATGTGAAAGGTAAAATAACAAAACTTCTGAAAAGAGCCTAAGCGAATAATCTCATGATCTTGAACAGGAAAAATTTTCTCTTGTCTAGTACAAAAAGCACTTAGCCCAAAGGAAAAGATTGATAAATTGGTCTTCATCAAAACTGAGAAGTTCTGTTCATCAAAAGTCACCATAAAGAGAGTGAAGAGGTGGCCCACAGTTGGAGAAGATATTTG